ATCATGCATTCACATTAAACAAGTATTGTGCTTTGCTATTCTAGTCTCAGCTTGCTCTGAGGAGTGAAGAATATCGACAATTATTTCGGCTTCCACCCGAAGAAGTGAGTGTCTTTACGCTGTTTATGATCACAATTATTGGGAGTGTTACTTCTTTAACTTTTTTTTTTTTTCTCTCTTTTAAGATTGCAGTTTTTCCAGCAATTTTGCCTAGTAATTTGCACTTTGTTTTTGATATGTTAGATTTTTGAATTATTACCTTTTGTTGTGTTTAAGCCTTTCTTTCATCTTTTGCTGCAGGTGCTTGTTCAAGATTTCAATTGTGCATTCCAGGAGAGTATTCTTCTTCAGGTAATGTGCATCTATAAGATATCCTTTTTTGGTTGTTTGGAGCTGCATGTTTTACTAGTTGATTTTTTCTTGTGTTACAACATCTAGTATTACATGGTAGGTATTGTGGATTAGTGCTAACTATCTTCCTTCCCAATCTAAGCTTTATGCATTATTATAAATCTCTTTCAGGGTCATATGTACCTTTTTCTTCATTATATATGCTTTTACTCCAACATTTTTGGATTTGAGACAAAGGTAATCTTCAAACCTTAGTTTATTCTTATATTCTTAGACATGCTTCCTGTTCTATTTGCTTTTGTATGTCTTATTCTTTATAATTGGTTATGATATTACAACTTTTTGAACCTTTTCTCCAGAAAACAATTGCATTTAATGAGATTACAAGTGTAAAAAGAGCAAAGACTGCTGGAATCTTTCCTAATGCTATAGAAATTATTGGTGGAGGAAGAAAGGTTGTACTGTTATTTTGGATAAGTTCTCTTCTATGTATATATATACTGTGTGGATGTCATATAAAAAATTTTCCCTGAATTTTTTTTTTTTTTTAATGATTGAATTTTAACACTAATGGGTAGAATTCCATATTGATTCAATGATTTGGCAGTATTTCTTTGCATCATTTCTATCTCGTGATGAGGCATTCAAGCTTATTAATGATGGATGGGAGCAACATAGTAATGGAGCCGAGGCTGCAATAGAACAACAGGTGTCTTAGCATTTCAAAGCTTATATATCATAGTAATTAGAATTCTAAAAATGGCTTCGATTACTTCATGTTTTTATAAGAATGTCTACTGATTATCTGATCATAAAATTACTATATCATTGCTGTAATGCAAAAGGTATCCTAGGATAGATGGATAAATAGTCCTTGTGTTGCCAATCAGATTCTTATGTTATTCATATGCTTTTAACCTTAACCATCCAGTATTGAAGATGCTTGTCAGTGTACTTGATGCATATCATCCATTTATACCTCAAGATCTGAATAGAAGATCTTTTTCCCTGAGAGTTGCTTGGTATTTTATACTCTTCATGTTGATCATATTTGAACAGTTAGTTATAAGTAAAAACCTTTCAGCATCTGATTCAAGTTGAGGTAAAAAAGTTATAAAGTTATCACGTAATGTAATTTTACCTTTTATCAAATTTTATACCGAGCTCATATGGAATCCATGGTTCCTTTCTCTCTCCCCTTTTTAATTCTTGAAACTAAATGTTATTTAGACAAACATTTCAGCTGTACTTCTTTCCCCTGGTTGTTTCTGACATTTAATTCACTTACTGCAAGAATCAATTTCTGAGTCTAGCAGCCAAGAGAATGGATTTGTTGCAATTGAAAAGGTCAACAGCTTTAAACGCCCAATCGATGAGCTGGATACTGCTGACAGGTATTCTTCAGAAGGCTCTTCAGATGATTGACCTATCAATTCATTGTAGTTCTTATTCCATGTATTATACAGGGATAAGGCTGCTTCCACTTCAAATGCTGCTCAGTTTTCACCCAATGTTGAAAATGACTTGGAAGTGGAAAATGATCTGGATCTACCTATAAATACTGATCCTTCATCCTCCTTAGATACTTGCATTTGGAAGCCAGAGAATTTTGATGCACCTAAGGGTTAGTTAACTCTTCCCCAGTGTTGATTTTCTTTCTCATGGTTTATCTAGCATGCGGCACTTTGATCCCATATATTGTTTGTTCTTTCTACATATTTTTAAATAGTAATTTCTTTTCTCTTTGGTTCAAACTGCTTTTCCTTGAAAGAGGACTTATTATGTGATTCATCCTTATGTTGTTTCCACAATCCACACCCTTTTGAAGAAAGGATTTGGGTGATTTTGAGGTGGAACGTACTGGGGTGCTTAAGAGGAATCACAGGGTAACTAGCTGGATTTTGGGGATCCTGAAGCAAAGAGGATGAATTATTGAAATTTATATTTGCCCATGGACATTTCAGAATCATTACAATAAGTTAGTAAATGATAGGGATTAGAGAAGGTAAATATGTGGGGTTTAATATTTTGAATATTCTACCAGTAAGTCCTTAAATGTTTTTGAAGGGCTTGAGGTGTTTCCTTCAAGATGATCTTTATGATGTCCATAAGCTTATGCTGGGCTTCTAGTGGGAATACTTGATTGAACATGTATGTGTGTCTCTAACTATGAATGGGGTTGTCCGGGTGGATTTGGATCATGAATGTGAGTGGCAGTGGGATGTCTATGGTAGAATGTCTCATGTGTGCAATGACAGAGTTGATGCATATCTCATCATGCACTTTAAGACACAGATTGGAAATTTGGAATGTATCTCTCCTCATAGTATTGCTTTGTCTTTTTGTTTATATCCTTATAGTCTAAATTGCTGGTTATCTGATATGCAGTTCCTGAAGATTATACAAAGGTTGCAGAAGCAAAGTTTCCGGTATTAATTCTGAACTCATTTTTCTCTGAGTTCTAGCATATAATGTAATATATTTACGTTGCTTGTTGCATGATTTATTTTGAAATAAATTTTCTTTCATTGACTGCAGATTAAGGTAGAGGAGTTTTTCAATTTGTTTTTTTCAGATAGCGCCATTAGTTTCGTTGAAGCTTTTCATAAAAGATGTGGGGATAAAGGTAGTCATCCATGATCTTCTGCTGGAAGATCATTTCTGATTTTATTTTTTCTTGGTGTTATGATGTTGCGGACAGTGTTGTTTTTTCCCTCTCCATTATGTTGTTTTGTGAATGATTATGTTTTTCAGAATTTAGGTGCTCTTCATGGTACCCTCATGACAAATTTGGACATGCACGTGATGTGTCATTTCAACATCCCATAAAATTTTACCTTGGTATGAGTTTTTATGTTTTATATATTTATCTCTTTACTCTTCCACGTGATGAATCTTAGATTATTTGAAGTGGCCTACTTATTTTACCATTTCTTTCATTTTTGTTTTCTTTTTTCTTGCACTGATCTTTTTTGTTTCCATAAGGGGCTAAATTTGGCAGCTGTCAAGAGGTCCAGAAGTTCCGAATTTACAGAAACAGGTTTCTATTTCTCTTTCAGGCATTTTGCATTTTGCTATTTTGCATTATGTATTCATATATTGTATGTTCACATCATGTTATTATTTGAAATCCTTTTGCCCCTTCAATTGGTTACTATTTCTCATATTCAAAGCCTTTTCCCCCAACAGTTAATACTGCTAGCCATTGGCCAAAATAAATAAATAAAAACTGGTAACTGCTTAGTCCTTGTTCCAATGATAAGAATATGCTTGCACTAGGAATAAGACAAATTAGACTATAAGAACATATTGGGCTTGTAGTTTCTTCTGATATTTTCTTTCTTCCACTTTTATGCTACTTGTGATTATTCTTCTTTCACACTTTTTGTTTCAAGCTTCTAGACATTCTGACTTCTACTCTTGACAGTCATTTGGTTATTGAGAGCTCACAAAGAATCAATGACGCACCATATGGAGATTATTTTCTTGTGGAGGTATGAGTTGTAGCAACATGCTTTAAGCATATAAACTGTTCCTACCTCCTGGTTTTCCGCTATTCTAAGATGGATGATCTATCCTTATGTAAACACACTCAAGCCTTCTTTTTCTGATGAAACATACTGTAGGCTCTTAAAATCAAGTGCCAAGCTTGAAGCATAGTTTTACACTCATCATTTGCTGGTCTGTTTAAGAGCATGATCAAGGAAATAACCATGCTTTATTTTTTCTTCTTCTATCAGGGGCTTTGGCATGTAGAGAAAAATACTAATCGATCACAAGAAGGCTGTGCCTTGCGGGTTTATATAAATGTGGCTTTTAGCAAGAAAACAATTTGGAAAGGTTTGCCTCTGCTAGAGTATTTTTTTCCTGTTTTCAATCTTTTCCTTGACCTCAGCCTTATGGTTGTATGTATCGCAAGCTGTTTTGTTTTCTTCATTTTATTCGATGAGCTGATTGCTATTGCTAATATAGCTCGGTAAAAATTGATTTTTGCCACTGTTGTAGTAAATTTTAGCTGTCAAATGTCAACATGTCTTATGCCATGTGCGTGTGGTTACAGGGAAAATAGTGCAGGCTACTTTGGATGAGTGTCGAGAGACTTACGCATCATGGATAGACACGGTATTATATATGTTCCTTCTTATATATATTATAAACAGAGAAGTTTAGTATTGTCATCATTTAAGAATTTTTATATCAACCTTTCAGGCACGAGAAATCTTGAAGCAGAAACCTGATAAAGAAGGTTTGACCGTCAGAGATTCAATTTGACAAATTTCTTCAAAACGCCATTTTATGCTTCACATGATCACTGAATTAGCTAATGCCTTAGGTTCAACAGGGCTGAATGTTGCTTTAAGCTCTGTTCAGAATGGTGATCATCCGATGGGAAAAGAAGCTAGGACCCAGGAACCTTCCGAAAGGTCACCCAACCTTTCAGAACCGCCTGATTCTATGGATGGTAACCAACAGATGGGGAATCTCTTGGATGGAAGTTTTATTGATGCTACATCGGTCACAACTCTGTTGAGAGAGCTTGTGAGGAAATCATATTCTTTCTTAAACAATCAAAGTCGTATTTCCCTAGTGGTAGCCATTGCCTTTGTTGTGATCTTCCTAATGCAGGTACGCAGCCTCCTAGTACCTTGTTAGCCTTCAGTTTAGAAATATTCTAATGAATTCAGGTTCAATGGTGTTTTTTCCTCTTTGCCTGTACAGTTTAATTAGTACTTAGTAATTTCTCTGGTCAAACCTAACCTTGGGCCCATGAGGCATCTTTGCTCCTAAAATGAAAAAGGATCCTGACAGGTCCTTATTTCATTACGGTACACATAACTACATTCTCATTTTACCTTTTAAACCGCAGATGAGCATACTTGTGCTAATAAACAGACCTCAGCACGTTCATGTCACATATCCGGTGGAATACATGGGTGGCATGGGCGGTGAATGGTCAACTGAAAACGTGGCTTGGTTGGAGAAGCGGGCACACCACCTTAAAGATGAAATGCTCATGCTTGGGGCTCGATTGGAAAGGTTGCAGCATGACTATGCCGCCTTGAAAGCACAGCTCGAAGGATTAGAGCATCCAAGAAAACGTAGATAACATTACAACAATTTGTATAAAAATATTTGTTTGTAGATTTTTACTCGGGTAAATTCTTTGCTTTTTCACATAACTGATATAAAATGAAGTTTTAGTTTTTGTTCAACTAATAATAATAATAATAATAATAATAACAACACATACATTAAAATATAAATGATCTAGCTTGTTTGTTTGACCTTTTTTCTTTTTTTCTTTTCTTTTTTTCTTTTTTTGGATACATTAAGTTAGTTGTTTGGCTTTTTAGGATCTGTTTGATTTAGCATGTGAAAGTTTTTGTTTTTTTAGTACTGTTTATAAGTGATATATTTAAATTTTTATTAAAGGAAAAATTTTAAAGTTGCTTTTAGAGATAAAAAAAATAAATAAAAAGTGAGAAAAAATGAAATTTATAAAAAGTTTAGATTTGAAACTTTTGAGTTTTTATTATTTAAGGTTTTTTAAAGTTAAAAAAAGATTTTAAAATGTAAGTTTTTTTTAAAAAATTTTAACTTATGAAATATAAATAATATAAAAAAATTGAAGAAGTAAGAAACTAACCCAAACATGCCTTTAGAAGTTTGAACCCCTTAATTGTAT